ACAAACTCCCCGTCACAGGGTGGGGAGCTAGCCTTGGCTCAAGCTGTCTGCTCCAGCTGAGTAGGGAGGTGTGCTCTAGTGCCTCCTGGCTTCTGGGCCACTGCAGGTATGTGGTGCCATTTCTGGAATCAAAAGTGAAAGTCTGTTCACTGGCTTATTGGTTCAAACTATGCAGCTTTGACTAACCTGTGAACATTAAATTGATTCAGGCTTGGGCTTTTTGACTGTCTGTACTTACCCTTGGCATCAGCAATGCTTTGATTGGCATAGTGATATAAAATTTACTGCCTATTCAGCACATCATATTGGAGACATTTCCTTGAGCTTCTCTTTGATGGGTATATCTTTAGACACTCAAGGATCCTGTCATCCTCTCAGGAGATAGAAAATTAGCATGTTTGCTGCTGTGGACCTTAGAGTACAGAATTCACTACTCCTTCTTGTCTTTGCAAATCTCTTCTCAATTTGAAATTGATTCAGTGATTCAAATCACTGTCCTGAATCGATTCAGCCAAATCTGATTCAGAGATTCATCTGTTGCTGAATCTCTGAATCAGCCAGGCCCATTCCCCTGAGCCCGGTAATTGCTGCCCTGCCCACCTCAGCTCCTGGCACTTGTAAAAAAAAATAAAGCCATGACTCAGCGGGTGTGCCAGGTGGTGAGGGGGCGATTCCTAATACCCGCCACTGCCCCACACTGCATAGGGGGGCTCTGCATGAGCCCCCAGAGCCTCCAGAGTCCCCCATCCAAGCCCCCCCATGGCTGCCCTGCCTGCTGCGACACCGGCCCTTTAAGAACCCCCCCTAAAAAAACAAAAACCCCCTGGACTCTCTGTTCCTGCCCGTGAGGGGTGATCCCTGCTGCCTCCCGCCACATGACGGTCTCTGAACAAGCCCCCTGAAGCCCTGAGGCCGCTGCAGGAGCTGGTGAGCCCTGGGGCTTTTCTCCATTTTTTTTTCTTAAAGGGCTGGAGCTGGCTTGGGCAGGGCAGTCATGGGGAGGGGGCTGGAGGAATGAGGGGAGCATCAGGGGGCTCATTCACAGCCTCCCATGCAGCATGGGGCATTGGGGGGGCAGCATGGATTGCCCCCTCACACCTGGCAGCACCCAGTGAGCATCAGGGCTACAGGGGGCTACAGGGGGCATTCCATGCACAAAAGATAATGGTATTATTGTAAACCATATAAACTTTTCCATACATCAGTGACCTTGTCAAGAAAAAAAAGTGTTCTAGAATTTTGGGATACAATGTTTTAAAAGAGATTAAATAATTCTGATAAATTTCTTAGGATATTTTTCTTGGTCTGATAAAGTTTTGGTATAATATATATGATCTATTTCTATAGTACTTTTTGTAAAACAGCTTTACAATGAGAACCCTCTCTTGTATGGCATCAGATATCAACTTCCAAATGAGCCACTGTCTGATATTATTGCTCAATGTACAGATTCCATCTACCCTGGGAATTTGTAAAGATTGCAGCTTTCGATTAAGAGCTGCCCTGTTAGTTGGACACTGCATTCTCACAGGGGGCTGTCCAAAATGTTCATTTTATAAAGTGTTATTTTGAAACATCCATATCCAGATTGCAGCCTGTTCAGCTTGACCCATGCTTCTCTGTAAAGGTCATACCTAATGAGGGACTTGTTTGGTGTTGGTATAAAATGTTGTTGAAATAGATTTGACCTTTCCCAGTCGTTGTCCCACTCCATTGCTGCCCATAGGTTTGGTTCAGTATCCCCATCTCTTCCAGGAGCATATGGGCTTCATGTACACAAAACACAAAGCAGGGTACAAACTGTGAAGAATGGACTCCCCCAGATGTCAGTGTTAGCACTGACACTTTTCAATGTAATACCTAGGATGTCCCATATACAACATCTACGGGATACATGTATGCTGATGATGTTGTCATAGTAGCACAAGGAATAGACATGAACAGAACTGGAAAAGACACTGAATACTGACATGGAACTCACCACTAACTATCTCCAGAAGTAGTGCTTAAAATTGAGAATCATCACTTCATAAAGTTATCATAATTTATTAATCTGTATCATCATTCTTCCACCTGGACAATCATTGTGGAAAGTGCACACTGAATATCAGAGTAGACAACCACATCCTTCCCCATTAGCATAACCCAACCTACTTAGGAGTTGCATTAGACCATTCCCTCACCTATAAACACCACATTCAGAAGGTCAGCAATAAAGTCTCTGCACAGGTAGCTGCTGGCATGACATAGGGTGCCAATTGCAAAGTGCCCAGAACCACTGCACTTGCAGCGGTATATGCCCCAGCAGAATACTGTTCTCCTGTATGGTACAGAAGCTGTTACACTAAAAAGCTCAGCATTGTACTGAACACTGTGCTACATACACACAGATGCATTCTTGGGCATTAGACCAAATGATATAAGAAGACAGACCCTAACATCATTACTGGCAATAGAGTCAAAAGATGATGAAAATCATCTGCTCCATCAACTGTTAATTGAAAACGCGAACAGATGGAGGCTTAAGAGGCTCAAAAGTCCTAAATAAGAACTCATTCTATTTGTTTTGCTACACAACATTCAGGGCCAAATTTATCTCTGGTGAAAACCCATTGACTTAGGTGGTATTATAACAGGACAAATTTGGTTAGAGAATTAGAAAAGTTTTATTTTTGGTAGGGTTGGAATCACTAGTTTCCAATGTCTCTAGAAACTGAGGATGGTGTCAGGAGTTACACAATGATCTATCCTGTTTTCTCAGTGTCTCTAAGTTCTTCAGTTGGAAAACAAATTGTTGTGAAGCCTTTGACAAAAATAAAGCATAATACACAGAGTCCATGACATATTCTGTATTTACCAGTATAATTTACACTAATAAAAATCCTGGCTTCCATAACCACTGATTATAGCTTCACCAGAATGGGAATAGAACCGTGGGTACTAGGAATCCTTGGTGTCAATAAGGCTGATGAAACCATAGAATTTGGCTATGTTTGACAAAAGAGCAGTGGGTAACAAAAGGCTAACAGAACTCAAACCAAGGATCCACTAGTTTTGTTAGGACTCAAAGATGTAGAAAATACCTGGTTCAGTGGAAATATACTTGTATTTGCTGTATTTGATACGAGAAACAATAAATAGTTTGGATTCAGGAGGTGTTAGAAAAAGTTATCCATAGCAGATAGAATTTATTGATACTAGGTATTAACTTTGCATACTTGATTCCAGTTGATGATCACCAACCCACCAAAAATGTTCCTATTTCACCAAATCCTGCTGCTGTTACTCAGCAAATGGGTCTTTTGTCAGAATAAGAAATGAAGGATTGAGAAAGTCAGTGTCATTACAGTGCAAGCGAAAAAGAAGCTTACATTATTCTTGTTATAGACCGGAGTTTAAGAACATCCAGATTACAGCTGATATTATTCTGAGTTTGGAACTGAAGCTATTGAAAAGCTGCTATGTTAAATTCCTAAAATTCTTATTATTTTTAAGTTCTTATGGTATTATAATTTAAAATGAAAAATTGTGGAAGAAAATGGCATTTTTGTTCCTACAGGAAGTTTTCATTTCATTTCAAGTACTGCATTTGTTTGGGGGGGGGGGAGCAGGTTAAAAAAAATGTAAACCATTATAAATCCAAACAAAAACTACTACTACTACTCCTATTATTGTTTTGCTTCTAAATGTTGATCACAAATGAAAACATGAGTTATGAAATTTCCCATGGAAAAACTGCAGTTTTTCAGCTGAACTGATATTTTCCTAGTTTAAAAAATCTGTTTTGATAAAACCTATATTTTGGGTGGGAAAAGTTGCGCATGAAAAATTCAGGCTGGCTCTATTTGAAACCCACACTTGATGCAGATAAACCCCAAGTAAACCATGCAAGACAGGGTAGACAGTATCAGACTGAGGCCTGCAGGGAGAAGAGAAAAGATAGGCCTCCAAAAGACAGGGATGTAGACATCCAGTTAGACTGCCTAAGAGTGGTGCTGAAAAATCTTCTCTGTTATTCATATGAAAGCTGGTCTATTAAAACTCTGCACAGCTGTACCACTGACTCCTTTGCTTTCCCTTACAGGGGGTTCTACAATTGTTTGTCTCTCTACAAAACCACTTCCTTTTAATGATTCTGGCATTGACAAAAAACATTTCCGAATGCATTGCCAGGACAGGGGGCAGGGAAAGGCTACCTCTGCCCTACTAAAATGGGGAGCTTCCAGTGCATATCTACTCATCCCGATGCATCCCCTAGGTTGTTGGGAAAGTGGGTAGAATATCTACTGCAAGGTCTACCTCCTCAGAGCTAAACAGGATTAGGATTTTCCCCTCCCATAAATAGACACCATAAAGCTCTAGGGGCTTTCAGAGGATTTTCCATTGAGGGAAGCCCTTATAGAACGGAGGATCTTCCAGACTTCAAAAGATCACTGGTACAATCTATTTAGTTTAGGGCCAAAACAGTCTCTTCCTCCCCTGTCATCCCTTTGCCAGCCCCAAGCATTTGCCACACATGAATCCAGCCCCCAAATCTATGAGATTTGCTTTTAAGGAAGTAATGAATTTTGGCTTCTTTTTATTTGTGTTCTGATTTTTGAGGCTCAGACCCATTTTCAGTCTTTCCTCTGCAACCATAAGAGCTACAAACTTACATTTTTTTCAATGAAACCTGAGATTCTCAGAAAATCAGTTGACTCCAGCAGCTGGGGATTTAAGAAACATAGTAAGTATTGTAAGTCTCATGGCAAAATGCCAAGGGCAAGCAACACTACTTTCCTACTGGCAGTAATTGCAACTCATTTTCAGACACCACAAATCAATGCTGGCACCATATGATGGAGGCAGCTGTTGTCTTCTGGGCAAAGGGGAAGCTGCAGGAGGGCTCCCAGGGACCAGAGAAGTCTGAGGGGCCTGTATCTGTGTAAGATCGAAGGAGACAAGTTAAATTAATTGTTTGAGTTGTTGCTTGCTGTTGCTAGAAGACTTCCAGGAGATTTCTTGATACCCTGTAGGTTAGTTCAGCCCTGGATTTGTTATTGTCTAGTATGGGGTGGTCCAGAGAAAGGAAAGATTACACTGAAAACAACAGCAACCCTGATTTATTAAAGTGATACAAGTTAATTGGGTGCAGCACACTGTTCAGGGATTCCAAATGTCAGACATCTCATGTGACAATCAAGTATTTGGCAGGTTGGTCAGGCACCCCTGCATCTCAGCTGGATTCTCTTGCCCCCTGAGGAAAGCTGCCGGCATTTCCCTGCAGTTCTATGTTTGGCATTTAGGCATATGCTGAGCAGGAGTCCAGCCTGCAAGGAAGAGGCTGGAAGCAATGGCAAGAGCCTAAGCAAGTGGAAAGTAGAGAAGCAGCAGTGTAAACAAACAAGGTGAAGGGCCCAATATTGGCCTTGAGCTCTTCCTTTCTCTCTCTCTCCTCCACAGCACCTTCTGCTCTCCTCCGCGGCTCCTTCTGCTCCCATGGACATCACTACATTCCAAGATCTGCAGCACCAAAAGCTTAGCTCATTTAGCTACTCAGTTTCTCACCTGGACACCTGGAGCCCTCACAGCTGCCAAGTTGGGTGTGTGCTGCAAATAGCCTCAGCCATGTGTCAGTAGAGGACAGGGCACACTGCCCAGATTACATTTACAGATGTATGCACATTGTTTGCAAACATCCAAGTTAACTAAATAACTCATATTGAATGTCATACATGGAGTGGCACAAACCTTGTCATAGAGTTACTAGTATAAAAGCATTTACTGTTATGTTACCACTTTTAAATGATGTATTTTCTTAGTCAATGAAAACCTACTTATTAAAAATAGGATTCAGAAAAAAATAAAGGAATAGGTTCCATTCTCAGAGAAACTAAATACAATAAGAACATGAATAAATTAAGAAATATACTTATTTCTTCAGGAATGAAAGCATTTTAGGCAATGTTCTACCTCATATTGGTTCAGATTGAAGCTTTACATCTCACCTGACAATGTTCTGTCCTCCTACAATATATTAAATGATCACCTTGCATAGAAAAAACCCTTTCTTGAGAAAAATAATGATAATTGCTTTTGGGAAAGAAAGCAGAGTACTCATGCACCTTTATATACGAACTTTTGGGGAAATCAACAGGGACATTTGAAGAAATTCTAATCAGATTACACTCACCTGGTCCAAAAGTAGCATCATGTGATGGGATGCAAGGGAGTTATGGTAGGTTTTTCAGCCTTACTGCAAGTCACCTCCTGAAAAAATACCAGAAACCTTGACAGGATCAAATCCAGAAATGAATGCTAAAGGGAGAGAAGGCACCAATTTGAACTTAATGTACTGTGTGTAAGTTATCAAATGATTCTGCTTTGGTTCTACTCTGAACGGGGGTTGGACTAAATGACCTTCTGAGGTCCCTTCCAACCCTAATTTTCTATGATTCTATGATCCAGTGCTGCAGCAAAGTACAATCTGCAAATTAGAGGAGCAGGCATATAGTTATGAAGTGCAAATTTAGGAATGGTGGTCATTTTACATGTGCTCTGGAGGTGGGCACTTAATTAGAGCAGCTCTCAGGAGCTGCTCTAATTAATGCACCTGTATCATCTTGTGCATTCAGCATCCCATGTTGCAAAATGGTGGCGGGGCACTTTAAATAAGCTCTTTGGATGAGATTTAGTTAAAGTGCCCCCGCCACCATTTTGAAATGAATACACGAGATGCGAAGCAAGGCTGGTAGAGCATGCTAATTAGTATGCTCCAGCAGACTTGAGTAATTGAGTTTGCTCTAACACTGTAATTACAGCACATTGGAGCAGGCATCTCACACATCTACAGGCACCTGTTATGTTTAAGACAGAAGCTATCAATGTCAATTGCCAACATCTGGCAGAAAAGAAGTTGAAGATATTTTCAGTTATTTACAAATTAGTAGAAGAGACAAAATGTAACTTGAATTAATTTCTTCCTCATACCTACAGAATGCAATGGAAAGAATATGGCTTCCCCTACATACGGATTTCTATATCTTATGACAGGCTTCCTGTTCAGTCCCTACAAGCCTTATACTTAGGACTTCATTAACTGTGGGACATAGTGTGGAAAGAAGGAGGCTGGGTTGTAATCAAAACCAAGAAGTTGATAATCCTTCACTTGCTTGGTCAGCAGAACCTTGACACCAGAGTGAAGTCTGTGTTCAAGTATTCTAATTTGCAAAACACCCATATTTGCTGAAACAAAAACAGAAACCTGTTTTCTTTTTTCAGAAGGAAAACGTGCCAGTTGGAAATCTATCACTTTGGCTAGGGACATCGATTACATATAAACCTGTAAAAGTGATCAGAAACCAGTACAAATCTGTAACACAACAGACATTCAGTGCACATAAACCACTTTCAAAATGGTCAAACCCAGTTTAGAATAGATCTGGATGGATGTAGGATCAGACTTAACTGATTTAGATCTCCTGCAGAGTTAAGTTAACTCACAGTCCCCCAGGATCCCAGGATACCTTGCAGCTCCCCAGCACATTTCCCCTCACACAGTGGGCGAGCTAGCCTTGGCCCAAGGTGTCTGCTCCAAGCTGTCTGCTGAGCAGGAATATGCTTCAACACCCCCAACCTTTGGCCTGGGCCACTGTAGGCATGTGACTGGATTTCTGAAATCAAAAATGAATCACTTGCTCATCGGTTCATAGTTTCATAGTTTCTAGGGTCGGAAGGGACCTGAGTAGATCATCTAGTCCAACCCCCTGCCATGGCAGGAAGGAGTACTGGGGTCAAATGACCCCAGCAAGGTGTACATCTAACCTACTCTTAAAAACCCCCAGGGTAGGAGC